ATGCTACTACAATGGATAAATGCCATTTTGTTTTCACCTCTTGTGACTCCATCTCTCCATACACATTTGGTTAGTTTCTTTTGTTTCTTGCTTTGTTCTACTGGCAATATGAAGAGCACAAACAAAACCAACAGATTCCAATAGTAAGTAAGAAGATTTCAACCAATTATTGGGAAACCTTTCCTGATGGTAAGAGCTGTTCAACATTGCAACAGAGCATGCTGAAAATGCTGGGCTATCTTTTCTTTTTGAAACAGAGTTCGGATGGCCAATTACATTGGTCAGACTTGCTTTGAGTCTAGGGTTGCCAGATGTCCAGCAAAAGGAGGACATGTCCTCCTTTTTGGCCCAATGTCCCCTGTCTGGTGGGCAAAGATAAAAACCTTTAAAACATCTGGCTTTCGTAATATTACTACGGAGAAGGCTCTCCATCCCCTCCTCCTGCACACACAGCGGGTTTGTCACGCTCACATGCAATTTAATCTCCTATTAAAGAAAAACTACAGCATCCAAAATGCAATGTGTACTTATGACTCTCCCCCTCCCCCAATGCCTCAGAGTCATAAAGAATGGAAGACGAAATGCAACTGCCCTTCTGCTTCGCTTGAAGGGAAGAAGGGAAGGAATATCATTGGCTGCCTTATATATACAGCCCGCCCGCCTTTGCTTTGCGGAGGCTTTAGCCAATAATGATGGGATCCTAGAAAAGGTCGCAGGTGGTGGAGGGTATATCTGGAAGAGGAAGTGTGCATGTTTGCGAAGGCTAGCTTCCATTTTCATCCAGGCTCGTTTTCTGAGGTTCTCTTGGTGGGTGGTGCGTGTTCTTTCGGCCTGCTGGTTTGTGCTGCCTTTGCCACCACCACCCTCATCGCCCTTCTCCTCCCACCGCCATGATGGATCACTACACCATCCATAGCCAACTGGAGCACCTGCAGTCCAAGTACATCGGAATGGGCCACACGGACACGACCAACCACGAGCACAATATACCCACCATGAGCGCAACACACCTGTGCCCCCAGCACACAGAGCCCGCCTCCCCCAACTGCTCTGTGGTCCCAAAAAGGTTGGGGACCACTGATCTATGTTAAACATTCAATACATCCTCCTCTGTCCTCTTTTTTGTCTTTCTATGTCCTCCTTTTGGTACCCATGTATCTGACAACCCTATTTGAGTCCCTTCAAAATCTATGCTCAGTCATGTTCATATGTGTAACCTGGTAAAATATAGACTTGAACTACAGCCATTTACTACAGTTTCTAATGAAAGTCATGTCATACAACTCACATGGCTCAGTTCAATGCAACATGGGAGCTAACTCTTTGAATCTCTGTCATGGCCATTGCCACAAAGAAAATGTTGAACTGTATCCTATAACAGTATACTGGTCAAAATCCTATTGGTTATGCCAGCCAGTGCATTTTCATCAGTGTTAGCTTTCAATGACTAATTACTGCAAGTTAGGAAGTCAGCGTATGCATTTCCTATTGCACACAGAGTCATCTGACTTGTGTGACTGTGGTAACTTTGTAACCTTTGGCAATTAGCTGCTGAAAGTTATATCACAGGAATTATGCAAGCAAATGTACTAAATAAATTGGGCCATTATTTGTTTAAATATTTTCCAACACATCTGGAGGGCAACAGGTTAGAGAAGGTTGCTTTAACAAGGTATGACAGGGCTGGGTCTACATGGAGAACCTGAAACTTACCCATGGCCTTGTCCTATATTTCCAGATGTGATCAGATTAACCCATCTCTCCCATCCCTATTTTAACATCATGAAGTGATGATGAGTAAGTGACATGTGGGAACAGCCAAAAGAAACCATGAACAAGTCTAAGAAAATAAAATGTTTTTCAACTGGTACCAAAAGGCCAGCATAGGCACCAAGCAAACAACTCAGAATAGTGCCATAACAATGGAGTAGCACCACAGAAAAGACACAAACCAGCATCCTATGGAGGCTTTGTCGAGCATAAAATCTCATCAGAATAGTCAGATGGGATTGTGTTGTTTGTGCAAGCATTAAGAACATAAGAAGAGCCCTGCTGGATCAGACCAAGTGCCCATCTAGTCCAGCTTCCTGTATCTCACAGTGGCCCCACCAGATGCCTCTGTGAGCACACGAGACAACTAGATACCTGTCTCCTGATACCCCTCCCCTGCATCCGACATTTTGAGGTACCTTCCTTCTAAGCCTGGAGATCATACATCTCCATCATGGCTTGTAACCTGTGATTGACTTTTCCTCCAGGAATCTGTCCTATCCCCTTTTAAAGGCATCTCAGTCAGATGCCATCATTACATCCTGTGGCAAGGAGTTCCTTTGCCACAGGATGTTGTTGGCAAGCAAAGGGCAGGGTTTATTCAGGGAACTTACAACTTACAGAAGTGCTGCAATCTTATATAACATGGGACTTTCCATCCAACAGAAGCTCCATAGGGTACTGGCCCCTGTCTTTAGTTTGCATATTTGGTTGCCGAAGAGTGAGGTATTTCAAGCAAAGCTGTTCAATCATAATATAAGCTGGGGTGGAAATGTCTGTGATTTTGGGTGACTACTTTTGCTGTCCACAGCCCTTGAAAGACCACACTCTTCCTCTGCAACTGCAGTCACTACTGAAACTTGGCAGCAACAGTGATACTATGGCTCAGAAATGTGACATCATAAAAAAAATTAAGATGAAAAACCATACACTATGCGAGCTTTCATGAATAAATCCCACTCTTTCAAAGCAAGCACCAAAAGTCCAAATGTTTGTGGCAAGATGGGATTTGCCAGGTGGTTAATCTTAGATGAAAAGTTCTTAGCAAGATAGATTTCACTAGGCACCTCTGCCTTACAAGAAGGTAAGCTTCCTAGCAGTTGCAACAGTACAGCTTGGGCAATACTGCCAGTTTTAAGAAAGGGCTGTGGCCAATGGCCTTCGTGTTGCCCAATCTCTATTGAAGTGAATGGGTAGGTTCATTACAGAGAAAATGGACCTTTAGTTACACCCTGCAATAGTGGAGGGGTGTGTTTGTAAATATGCAAGCATAATTTATTATTCTGGCTTGGTTGCATATTGACATATGTGGAGCTACAGCACAGAAGACTGATGCAATTTGTGTCTAGGTAGCTTGAAAGACTGTTAAACTACATGTTGTTGTTATGTGTGTCAAGTCACCTCCGACTTAGGGCAACTCTATGATTATCACCTCCAAAATGTCTTACCTTCAATACCTCTGCTCAGTTCCTGCAAATTCAATAGCCCTGCTCAGCTCTTGCAGACTCAAGCCTGTGGTCTCTTTTAGGGAGTCAATCTATCATATATTTGGCCTTCCTCATTTCTTGTTAACTTGCCTACTCATGATGTGTCCATTTTTTGGCTCCAGAGAAAGCTCAGGCTTGAATTGCTATAGGATTCACTTCTTTGTCTTTCTGACGGGTCACTGCAGAGCTTTCCTACAGCACCGTATTTCAAATTAATCAATTTTCTTCTATTCAGCTTTCTTTACTGTACAGTTTTTACTCCTAAACATGGTGACTAGGAATACAAGAGTGTGGATGATCTTGGCTTTAGTCTCCAGTGGCACATCCTTAGACTTGATAGTCTTTCCTAATTCCTTCACTGCTGCCCTTCCGAGTCTCTCTTCTTCTGATTTCTTGGTTGCAGTCTCCATTTGGATGGATGACTGAACCAAGGTATACAAATTCTTAAACAATTTCGATTTCTTCATTGTCATCATTAAATCTGTGTAGTTCTTCTGCAGTCATGATTTTTGCCTTCCTAACATTCAGCCGCAGTCCTGTTTTGGCATTTTCTTCACTTTCACTAAAAGTCATCTCAAGTCATTACTGCCTTCTGCCAGTAAGATTGCATTGTCTGCATATTTTAAATTATTGATATTTCTTCCAGCAAGTTCTGATGTTTCTTCCAGTAGAAACTCAAAAGCAAGCTAAGGAGCATCATTGGACACATGCACAGTGGACAAAAAATTCTACATACTGTATACCTTCCATCCATTTAGACACATTCCTGTGGGCCGCTACAGGAGACAAGTTGAGAAAGAAGGCCAAACCAAAGACTACTTGCTTTACTCCTCTTCCTCCCATCCCCATTTCTTTTGTTTCATGTAACACTTGTGCCATTTAACACTGTAAGCCTACAGGCAAGGAATCTCTTGTTTTTCTTGACTATATGTAAGCCAATTACTAACTCTTGTCAATCTTTTTGGTTGAGATACAGGATAAAAGTGTTAGACAAACAAACGCAAGCATCTTATTTCCCCATTTCTAAATCCTTCTATGCCCCCGTTGAGGGTAACCAGGTGAAAAGGAGCACCAGGTTCCTTCACCTTAAATACATGCTTAGAAGCAGAAAGTTCAGGAGGTGCAGTTTTTACTGCAAACTACATTTTCTGAAATTTCCTCCTCTACACAACTATTAAAGGTATTGGAACTCTGTCCTATCTAGCAGAAGGGCTGCATACAATTGAATTTAAAAAAAGTGTTGGGTAGTTTGTGGCTCCCCAGATGCTGTTGGACCGCAATTCCCATCAGCCTCTGCAACGAAACAGAAGATGGAGGATGATGGGATTTGCAGTTCAAGCCCTGAAGGGTCACAGTTTGTGTGTGCGACAAATTTTATGAGATGTAGCTTTTTCTACCACAGAGACTCCGTGAGGAGGAGACAAACGGTACCTCTTGAACACCGCCGTTGGGTGTGTGTGTGTGTGTGGAAAGGGTGGAGGCTGGCGCCCTATGAGGAACAAGCGGGGCCGAGACACTGGCCATCCTAATTTACACCCATCGCTCTCTAAGTTGTTTGACTGTAAAGCTACTGAGCAACTAACGCATACCAACGGAATCCATCCGCAGTAGGATTCCCCCACCCCCCACTTGGGTTCCGAGAGAAAAACCTTGTTCCGGGCATGAGACTCCCCGAGAACGCCGCTATTCCAAGCCCAAGCGGTCGGAGTGCGCCCCCAGCTACGCAGGGCCGGCTCCCCGTACCTCTGCTTCTAGCGAGGCCGCCGTGCTGGCGGGCGGGAGCAGCAGCGGGGCGTTGCTGGCCACGTCGATGCGCCTGGAGGCGGGGGACCCCGCGCGGGAACTGCGGCGGCTGCTGCTGCTGGTTCTCATGCCCCCTGGGGTCCCTCGCGCGCCAGCGCTGGGCGGCTCCGCTTCCCCCATTCGATCCGAACTTTCCCGGGCAATCGTCGGCCCGCGCGCGTCCCCAAGCGCAGACTCTTGCTAAGCGACCCCGGTCTCCTTGGCAACGGGTACACGCAACCAGGGCTTGCAGGCTGGAGAGGGCGGCTCGGGAATTTCTCTCGAGAAGGACTCGAAAGCGCGTGGGTTTGAAGTTACTGTAGAAGCTGGGAAAGGAAGATGATGCTGGAGGTGTTTTACGGATAGTCAAGCTTTAGGAGGGCGTGTTGGATAACAGGATTTGTTGTTTTCTGGACATTTTTAGAAAATAATTGCAGTGGCCATTAATATTTTTGCACACCTGTAACATAGTTCAAGAAAAAAAATGTGGTTCTTACATAATACAGTAAAGGTAAAAGAGCAAATTATGCCTTTAGGTGAAGGTAAAGGTTCCCCTTGACATTTTAGTCAGTCGTGTTCGACTCTAGGGGGCGGTGTTCATCCCCGTTTCCAAGCCATTGAGCCAGCGTTTTTGTCCGAAGACAGTTTCCGTGGTCACCTGGCCAGCGCGACTTAGATTGGGAACACCATTATCTTCCCACTGAGGTGGTATCTATTTATCTACTCGCATTTTTTCATGCTTTCGAACTGCTAGGTTGGCAAGAGCTGGGACAAGCAAGGGGAGCTCACTCTGTCACGTGGATTTGATCTTACGACTGCCGGTCTTCCAACCTTGCAGCAGAGGCTTCTGCAGCTTAACCCACAGCACCACCATGTCCCCCTAAAATTATACCTTTATTAGACTACAAATCAAACAGCTAGCTTTTGTCATTTATCCATCTTTCACAGGCTGCACACCAAGATTTAGGGGATGGTGCAGATACATACATATATCGTTCACCTTTCTGTTATAATAACACATAAGAGAGCTCATGGTATACAATGTAAAAACAGTCCCAGCTAATTAAAAATGTAAACATCTGAACAGGAGAAAGGACAGGAGATAAGACTTCAACTAAAATTCCAGGGAGTGCTAAATTTTGTCAGCTAATTAGGATAGCCTCCTAGCTGACTAAAAAGAGGTTTCATGAGCTGGCGAACGGGGGAGAAATCATGGAAGTGGCAAGTCTATCTTCTCTGGCAAGGAATTCTACCTTAGGTGCATCTTATGAGAGCCTTGTGGCACAATGGTTAAAACTGCTGGACTGCAGCCAAAACTGTGCTCATGACCCGGGGTTCAATCCAAAGTAGCCGGTCTAGGTTCCTGCAGCCTTCCAGCCTTCCGAGGTCAGTGAAATGAGTACCTAGCTCATTTGCTGGGGCAGCGGCAATGTGTAGCCTGCATAATTAATTTGTAGACTGCCCAGAGAGTGCTTTAAATGCTATGGGGTCGTATATAAGCAGCATACTTTGCTTTAATAGGCCCTCCCGAATGTCTGAAAGTAGATGAAGAGCCTTGTCAGATGATCTTGGAAGAGCCAATCTTTCTAAATCTTTTAGGGCCAGGGCATTTTTGACAATATTTCAAATTGCTATATTATCATATAGGTAAGGCAGCAACTGCCATGTGGTGCCAAGAGGCTTCCTACTTCTACTGACAGTGTGGAACTTGGGGCAGCAGCTCCCTGCCTGACATGCCGTGAAAAGAGTTGCTGGAGCTGCCTCCACCCACCCAGCAAGAGCAATGTCAGCAGTCAGCCAGTACCGAGGTGGCTGGGAAGCCCCTCGCCATTGGCTGGGCAGTGACATGTTTTGGGGACAGCACCAGCAGCGCCATTTTTGCTGCATGTCAGGCCTCCACCTGTTTCCTTTTAGTAGTGGGAAGGGCTGGCCAGCCAGTGAGAGAAACCCTGGTGTGGTTTTTAAAAGTGCGTCCTGATACGATTTTTAAACTACACCAGAGCTTGTGTTGCGTGTAGCAACTGAAGTTGCTGCAAATTCACTTTGCTTCATCCTGTGCATGTAGTTATGCTTATGAATTTCTGCCCTAGAAAATCTTTCTGATCTTTTAATGGAAACTGTTAAACATAAAAGGCCATAGGAAAATAAACTGACACTGGTTTTTCAGCATTTTACTAATTGTATACGTATCTCTGTATTTTAATATTGATCTTTGCAGAGACTGGTTTATACACAGTAAATGGTTTTTAGAATGAACATACAGTATTTTGTAGCACTATACCTACTAGGACTACTTGTTTCCTAAAGTTATAATGCAGGTTTCATTCTCATCTGTGGTGCCTGTTAACCACTACATTAAATGCCACACATTGTTTTTATAATATGTATAATTCTGGTCAGAGCTTGGAAACATTGCTTTCTTGGACTTAGATGGGGGATTCTGGGATTTGGAGTTTTAAAAATGAGTATTTCCAAGCTCTGCTTCTAGTAGATGGAAAAATAAATTATCAAAAACAAAACTTATTTTCAACACATTCCTTTCCACTGAAGAACTATCCTGTTAAACATGATTAATCACGGTTGTTTCCTTGTCTCTGTTAACATTAGTCATAACATATAGAGTGTATCTATCTCATGAAGCTGAGAACAAAAATGAATGCTAATTTTTTTACAACTATGCTGTTCAAGATCTTTCTTGGTTTTCAACTCTTTTACATGTCTGTTAGTTTTTACAGTCCTGCAGCTTCCTCCAACGAAATGTTCCCCAGATTTTTTCTTCCCATTCTTGGAATTCCTATCAGCCCAAGTCACCATGACTAATGAGCCAGAATGCTGGGAGTTGTGGTCTAAAGCATTCTGAGGACACCAACATGGAGAAGGTAGTGTCTATACAGCTTGTGAGGTACAGAACCTAACAAATCCCAACCACCATTCACTGTGGGTTGATACCTGCTTAACAATAATTTCTGTTTGGAGTTGAAGGCAAACAACAAAAACAGATTCGTGGAGTCCTAGTGAGCTGCCATATGTAGCTGGTGGGACATGTTTAGCTTGGCACCAAGCTGGGGTCAGCTGATGTGCAGACAATTTTTTAAAAAGCCATTGTCTTGTTAGTCAATTTTTTTGAGGGGGGGGAGTAAAGCTATTTTTCAGACAACCTAGTTTCCATATAAATGATTTAAAATTTACCTCATTTTCCCTGACCATGCTTCCTAACCGTATATACCATAGCAGAGATTACTTAAAAGTAAGCTGGTAAATAATTCAACTTGTATTACCAATTACTGTACACTTGCAAGTTAAATCAGCTTATAAAATAGATTAGACATCTAGGTCATCTTCCTTAGAAATCATATATCATCTCATAAAAGTCTATTGGTAAATGTTTGTAAAATCCAGAACACTTAGCTCAAATCTTAGATAAGCCTTTAATCCTTTTGTGGAAACATGAAAAGCAATTTCAGTTTTGTGCTTGGGCAAACTTCCACGAAAATCCGCTATTCATTTTTAAATTATTTATTAGTAGTGGGAGTGTGGGATTTTCATGACCCTTTTAGATATATTTCAACCAGCTTTTTAAAGTGTGCCAACTTCCCTTCCAAATAGAGGAATTCTTTCTTAAATTAATAGGAAAGAGAGAGGGATGGAACAAAGCCTTTGTTCCTCTTGTGGACCACTTTGCCTAGTCTATGATAATTACCAGAACTTTGGAAAGGATGTTACAGATAGACTAAAAATGTTTGGTTTAACCACTAAACCTCTAAAGTGCCCAAGATGTATTACAAATTGGAATTCTATCCATAACATATATAGAATTCTGGTTTTTGGAATCCTACTTAAAAAGTGTCTTGCTCCTTTTCGTAGAGCATAACAGCTATTCAGGTGGAGTGTTCCATCTGAGCCCCGTCATCACAAGCCTGCAGTGGTGCAAGTCAATATCACCCCATTGCTTTAAACAAACTATCTTCTTGCTCAGGGGATTTCTAGACCCCCCTCTTTTTTTCTGAGCTTCAGGGAAGAAGGAACCATGTGCAGAATAAAATGTTCTGTAGCTCCTTTGCCAGCAAAATTACAAATCACTAATTTTATATCTCTGCATGGCATGGAAAGAGATTTTATCATTGGGCAGAACCATTGAGCTTTCTTTTTCTTTTTGAATTTTCAATATGATACCAAGAGGAATGGTGCAGCATTGGCACAGTTTTACCTAACAAAAAGACAAAGGAAGTAATGATAGTGGTAATGTAACGTTATTCATTATGTAGTAAGTAGAGAGGAAAATATTTTTCTCCTGCTTAATCCTCTTCCCAGCCCACCAAAGGGGGTATCTCCAGTATCACACACTGTATGCTTATTGTTGGTAACATGAGTGGGACAGCATCAATACAAATATCCTGTGTGGGGATATCTCATAGAGTTGTCAAAGTCTTTTTACATATAACATTAGAATCAATTTATTTAAGACAATCTTCTCTGTCAACAACTTAAAGTTCAAGAAGCTTTAAAGTAAGTCTTCTGCTACAGAAATTAAAATATGACTGTTATCTACTGGTGCAGCTCTGCCTTGTAAACTAAAACAGAATAAATATCATATACATGTCATTTATTAAAATACTTTTTAGCCCAAGTACTGCATTCATTATGTATAAAATAAATATCCAAGAAAGATTAGGATTTAATGGCTGAAATCTTGTTCAGCATACAAAGCTGCATTAGAGAAGCTCCACTGAATCAGTGGGGATTAGATTAGTCAACTCCTCTGTATATTCAATTGATTCAGTGGGACTATTCTAGTTGCAACTTACTACACTAAGCAACAGAATTTCAGCCAATGTATTTTTCTTATTTTAAGACGATATTACCAAAAAGTTTGTAACGTGACACAATTGCACATGCCACTTTAAAGACCCATGGGAGAAGCAAGAACATGCATATTAAATGTTAATGGTCTTCCAGCTTTTGAGCATCAATGGCATTTTAGCCAGCACTAGTCTTCATAATGAGCAAGTAAATCATGAAGCGCCATCAAACTGAATTATTCCATACTTCCCAGTTATCATCCATTCAGGTTCAGTACTTGAAAGCTTTTCACCTTGCCCAGGTTTCAGACCAACCTGAATATCACACTTTAGTGTTCTTAGACTGCAGAGAGGTGCAGGGTGAAAATTGTTCAAAGCTTGGTGAAATGGCACTATGAATTCCCATTTTCGGTCCCCTAATAACTTTCTATAGTTCAGATCACCTTTAAAAATAATTAAATCTGATTTCTGTAACTCAGCATACAAATCAGGAGCAACCTGGGCCATACTAGAAAATTCATGTGGCAAAGTCCAAAACAAATGATCATGATAAACCCAAACACCTTTTTTCACATAGCCCTCCCAGGAGACACCACAACTAGACATACACTTGTTATTAGCTGATCCCATTTGCTTAATAGTCCAATTCAGATCACGTTTAGTAGTATCTGACACATACCATGGAATACTTTTTCCATGAAAATGAATTATAGTAACTAATTTGGAGGAAGTCAGAAAGTCAGCTAACACAAGATCTGCAATCAGTTCAAAACCAGCATTATCCAAGACTATGTCAATTCTGGTAGATGTCACTGATGTCTGTGTATTTATTTTCTTTCTCTTCATCAGTAATGACCAAAGTTTTTCCATGTGGTCCACCAAGATAAAAGATTTTAAATCTTCCACAGACTGTAAAGGATTAGCCTTCTGAGAATTATCTGCACCAGCTGAAATGGACAAGTCACATTTATTACCCCACAGCGAAACCTAAAGGAAAAAAAAAACCACATGTTAACTTTTGTGAGGCAATCAATTATTTGTTCTGCTATATAGCTAATATGTTAAAGCTTGAATTCAATAAACTGCTTTAAAAAGCCATAATCCTGTTTATGATCTGGTTTGGCACAGAAGGGGGAACAGAACTCACTGCCCCTCACTCATGGCAGGATTTATGAGATTCTAGTTTTCTAAATCAGTGGTTCCCAATCTTGGGTACCCGATATTCTTGGACTACAATTCCCAGAAACCTCAGCCAGTACAGCTAGTGGTGAAGGCTTCTGAGAGTTGCAGTGCAAGAACACCTGGGTTACGCAAGGCTGGGAACCACTGCTCTAAATGCATGCAGCCTCAGGATATTGGATTAGTCTGGTGAACCATTCATGCAGTATCTATTAACATATATCATTTCTAGTCCAACTGACACTATGCATACCTAAACGTGCTTCTATGCATGTGCACCGTTCTGGTAAATTGGGATGTTGCTCTGTATTATGTTGAGACATGATACATAGGACTTTGTAAACTCTGGAGCACAGCTAATTCCAAGCTCCTGAATTCTTAATCAAAAACTACATTAGTCATATATGAGCCTCAATATGAGGAGCATAATAAGTAACGTTTCATGGATTCCACTTGCTGTTCCAAACACAATTGTTGTGAATGCAAAGAACAGTTCTGATAAACTGGAAGGATTGTAAGAGTTTAACTCATTTATTCTAAAGAGTTTTCAATATTTCTTACTGAAAATGTGATACTAGTAGTGACTGACATTAAGAAAAATGGCTTTTAAAATCAATACATGCAACATATTAAGGCCACAACTCTACTCACTTATGTGATCACATAACTACAACAGCAACAAGCTTTTCCTCCCGCTAGTAGGCTCTCCTTTGTGGAACTTGTTGCACACTGTTTGCAGCAATAGTCACATGGAAGATTGTATGAATAACAGTCAACCAGAGGAGAAAAACTGGTGCACTGATGCCCTTGCATGTACAGTTTTTCCTCAAACGAATTTTGACCTAGATACTTAAATAGTAAACATTACTAATTTCACCTGAATTAACTTGAAAAATTCTTCATTCAGTGATTCTTCATTTTGATTTTCTATGTTTTTCAATAGCTCTTGCAAGTAAGTACTCAAAGCAATAATGGCTTGTTGAGAGTCAAAGAAAGCATGCTCCTTTTCTTCTTTAAACACATCGTAGTCACTGATGGGTGGACTGAGCAGAAAAAAATGTAGATAATTAATACTTTGTTTTTGACACTATTTTTGACACTGAAAGCAAGTTCAATATCCACCTCAAGTAGTTTTGTTTATTAGGTATGCTGTCATGAAAGGAGATGCCAAATCAGTTCATCATCATCATCTTAGAACTGCAAGGGACCCTACGGGTCATGATATCCAGCACTTGTCAAAGAGGCACTGTGGGGAATCAAACCTACGGGTCGTGGTATCCAGCACCTGTCAGAGAGGCACTGTGGGGAATCAAACTCCCAACCTCTGGTTCCGCAGCCAGAAACCTAAGCCACTGAGCTATTCAGATGGGTATGTGGAAATGCACAACATGATGAGAATATAACATGGGGATAGGCGTTGTAAATATTACAAGGGAGAACCTGACACACAAAAGCTGTTTTTAGTACCAGTCCTACATAGGACATAATATGCAGTTCTACTCTTAGTCAATGAAGTTCCATTTTACTAAATTAAAAATAAAATAAAGTAAGAATAAAAAGCAATTTTATTTAAATAGAAAAATTTGTGCCAAAATTTGTAGATCTTTCAACATCACAGTAATCCAAATTTATGCACCAACCACCGATGCTGAAGACGCTGAAATAGACCAATTCTATGAAGACTGACAACACCTTCTAGAACTGACATTAAAGAAAGATATTCTTGTCATTATAGGGGACTGGATTGCTAAAGTAGGGAGTCAAGAGATAAAAGGAACAACAGGTAAGTTTGGTCTTGGAGTTCAAAACGAAGAAGGGCAAAGGCTAATAAAGTTTTGTCAAGAGAACAAGCCGGTCATCACAAACCCTCTTTTCCAACAACACAAGAGGCGACTCCACACATGGACATTACCAGTTGGTAATACTGAAATCAGATTGATTATGTTCTCTGCAGCCAAAGATGGAGAAGCTCTGTACAGTCAGCAAAAACAAGACCTGGAGCTGATTGTGCTTCTGATCATCAGCTTCTTATAGCAAAACTCAAGCTTAAACTGAAGAAAGTAGGAAAAACCACTGGGCTAATCAGGTATAATCTAAACCAAATTCCTTATGAATACACAGTGGAAGTGAAGAACAGATTTAAGGAACTAGATTTGGTGGACAGAGTGCCTGAAAAACTATGGATGGATCCCTGTAACACTCTACAGGAGGCAGCAACATCTCAAAGAAAAGGAAATGCAAGAAGCTTAAACTGAAGAAAGTAGGAAAAACCACTGGGCTAATCAGGTATAATCTAAACCAAATTCCTTATGAATACACAGTGGAAGTGAAGAACAGATTTAAGGAACTAGATTTGGTGGACAGAGTGCCTGAAAAACTATGGATGGATCCCTGTAACACTCTACAGGAGGCAGCAACATCTCAAAGAAAAGGAAATGCAAGAAAGCAAAGTGGCTGTCCAACGAGGCCTTAGAAATAGCAGAGAGGAGAAGGGAAACAAAATGCAAGGGAGATAGGGAAAGTTACAGAAAATGGAATGCAGACTTCCAAAGAATAGCAATGAGAGACAAGAGGGCCTTCTTAAATGAATAGTGCAAAGAAATAGAGGAAAATAACAGAAAGGGAAAAACCAGAGATCTGTTCAAGAAAATTGGAGATATTAAAGGAACATTTTTATAAAGGACAAAAATGGGAGGGATCTCACAGAAGCAGAAGGGATCAAGAAGAGGTGGCAAGAATACACAGAGGAATTATACTAGAAAGATCTGGATGCCCCAACAACCCAGATAGTGTGGTCGCTGACCCTGAGCTAGGGATCCTGGAGAGTGAAGTCGTGTGCCTTAGAAAGCATGGCTAATAACAAGACCAGTGGAGGTGATGGCATTCTAGTTGAGCTATTTAAAATCTTAAAAGATGATGCTGTTAAGGTGCTACACTCAATATGCCAGCAAGTCTGGAAAACTCAGCAGTGGCCAAAAGATTGGAAAAGATCAGTCTTCATCCCAATCGCAAAAAAAAGGGCAGCACCAAATGCTCCAACTACCGTACAATTGCACACAGTTCACACGCTAGCAAAGTTAAGCTCAGAATCCTACAAGGTAGGCTTCAGCAGTATGTGGACCGAGAACTCCCAGAAGTACAAGCTGGATTTCAAAGGGGCAGAGGAACTAGAGGCCAAATTGCTAACATATGCTGGATTATGGAGAAAGCCAGAGAGTTCCAGAAAAACATCCACTTCTGCTTCACTGACTACACAAAAGCCATTGACTGTGTAGACCACAGCAAACTATGGCAAGTTCTTAAAGAAATGGAAGTGCCTGACCACATTATCTATCTCCTGAGAAATCTATATGTGGGACAGGAAGCAACAGTTAGAACTGGTCATGGAACAACTGATTGGTTCAAAATTGGGAAAGGAGTACGACAAGGCTGTATATTGTCTCCCTGCTTATTTAACTTATATGCAGAATACATCACGCGAAAGGCAGGACTGGATGAATCCCAAACTGGAATTAAGATTGCCAGAAGAAATATCAACAACCTCCAATATGCAGATGATACCACTCTGATGGCAGAAACTGAGAAGGAATTAAAGAACCTCACAATAAGGGTAAAAGACGAGACCGCAAAAAATGGTCTAAAGCTCAACATCAAAAAACCTAAGATCATGGCCACGGGCCCCATCACCTCCTGGCAAACAGAAGGGGAAGATATGGAGGCAGTGACAGATTTTATTTTCTTGGGTTCCATGATCACTGTAGATGGAGACAGCAGCCACGAAATTAAAAGACGCCTGCTTCTTGGGAGGAAAGTGATGACAAACCTCGACAGCATCTTAAAAAGCAGAGACATCACTTTGCCAACAAAAGTCCGAATAGTCAAAGCTATGTTTTTTCCTGTCGTGATGTATGGAAGTGAGAGCTGGACCATAAAGAAAGCTGACCACCAAAGAATTGATTCTTTTGATTTGTGGTGCTGGAGGAGACTCATGAGACTCCCCTGGTCTGCAAAGAAAACAAACCTATCAATTTTGAAGGAGATCAACCCTGAATGCTCACTGGAAGGACAGATCCTGAAGCTGAGGCTCCAGTAATTTGGCCATCTCATGCGAAGAATCCCTGGAAAAGACCCTGATGTTGGGAAAGTGTGAAGGCAAGAGGAGAAGGGGCGACAGAGGAGGAGATGGTTGGACAGTGTCATCGAAGATACCAACATGAATTTGACCAAATTCTGGAAGGCAGTGGAAGACAGGAGGGCCTGGCGTGCTCTGGTCCATGGGGTCATGAAGAGTCGTACACGATTTAATGACTAAACAACAAACAAAACTTATTCCCTGATTCATTTTGGAAATAGAGATGGGTACGAACCACCAGTTCAGCCCAGTTCATTTTCTGGCTCAACAGGTGTTCAGCAGTTTGGCCCCTGCCCCCTCCAGTGGGTGCTGCCTGAAAGGCAGCACCTCAGATTTCCTGTGCCACCTCCTCCGGCCATTGAGTGGATGCCTGCCAGAAGAGGCATGGCACCAAAATACCAAATATCTGTTGCAGAAGTAAACAAAACAGGACAAACCACCTAACTCTTGGTTTGAGCCTATCTCTAATTGGAAAGCATGAACATAAACAATAAACACTCCAAAATTTTCCATTCTCACTCACCATACTGTTCCTATCTCTCCTTATCATACCTTCTTGGGATAAATATAACAAAAAATGTTGTATTTGATGGTTATATTTATGAAATTTACATGCCAAAAGAACTTGTGCTATCTCACTGACCAACAGTTAAATTCTATTATACTGGCTAATTACAGTGGAAAATATTACCTTGTGCTATAACTATACTAGACATAACTGACATTTCTCCCTTACTTCCCTATTAACATACCCAACTCTTTACTAATAGAAATGGCATTTGTGAAGTACATGGCAGGAAATATAACATATTTTACAATATAAGAATTTTAAAGTCATAAATAATCTTGTATTCATGCATTTTCATTTGTTTCAATTACAATGTACATAGAAAATTTTAAGGAAAGGACTCCTAGAAATGTTACCCTGTTCCCCCGAAAATAAGACCTAACCTGAAAATAAGCCCTAATATGATTTTTCAGGATACTCGTAATATAGTCCTACACTCAAAATAAGCCCCAGTTAAGTGAAACCCTGCCCTCCATCACTGTGCAGCAACCAGACAATGACATGACTGTATTTGAATAAATGTAGATTGTTGTACATGAAAAAATAAAACATTCCCTGAAAATAAGCCTTAATGCGTTATTTGGAGCAAAAATTAATATAAGACCTTGTCTTATTTTTGGGGAAACACAGTAGATAACAAATCATAATTAGAAAACATAACATGGATCAGGAAAGAAAAAGACACCCAAACTTTTATTCTCCAGAAAAAAAATATTTCCAGGAAAAAGAGAATTTTAAAGCCACCACCACCCTGAAACTAATTTTTTCGGTGCCATTTGTCATAATCCCAAACACAGTATTTATCTTAAATAATGGTGGTACTATATTCTGGGGCACAAGCTGTGTTTAGCTAATAACACTCTACTTTAATAAGCCAAGATCTGCAGACCTTTTGCGCCAGCACACAGGCCCTATGTATGTGCAGGCAAGTACCTCAGGAAGTAACCCCTTTATGGCCAAACTATGAAACTAAGGCCTGCTTCGTATGCAATGCTGAAGTATGATTCAGTATTTTGAGGACACCCTTAAGAAGCTTCTGCACTCATTCACTCCTCCTATACTATGCTCCCACAAAGGGAGAATAATGATGTCATCTGAGGGATTTTCCCCCCACTTTTATTTAAGGAATTCTGACTAAATTCTGGTCAGGTGAATAACATACCAAATTCAACTGATGGGCTATGATGCCAGCTTAATAAATTTGTTTGAAATACACAATTCAAATATAAATGCTAACCAGGAATTCAGTTAAAGGGAAACAAATCTCCGGGAAGTGTTCCTTCCAGTGGTAAAAGAAAGTAGAGGACAGTGCAAGTCTGTTTGACACAGACCATGTAGGCAGGAAATTAAACTATGGTCTGACACTAGCTTTCTAAACTGGCTTATTCTAAAGCCTAAACTGCAGCACTCAAGTTTTTGGCTGAAAATACAACAGAGTATTTCCAGGTGTTCATGCTATCTTTCATAAATGCAGCAGGAACAAGGGGACTTTTTTAATTCATTTTTTTAATTCTTGCCTGTTTGTGGTAACTTGATAGGGTGTGAAGGAGGGTTGTAATTTCAATAAATAAGTAATCTTAAAATATCTTAATCACCAAACAGTATTTCATTCACATTTTAGTTATTGAGCAGCTGGGTCTTTTACGGGATTCAGAAGGAAATACTAGAAGCTACAATTCTCAGAAGGAATAAATATGTTCAGCCCAGAAATGGCTGTTGGAACAACCAGATTTTAGATGTCTTTTCTTCACCCAGGCAGCTCCTGATGTCTCTTGCCACCTTCTGGTTCCTGGTGGTACACACAAGAGGAATGGAAAAAGCAAAAGTGTCTCCCTTACTCCTCAAATGTTCCACTCTCTGGCTAAAGGGATCAGAGAGGAGATAAGAAAAAGGAACTTAAAACTGTGTTTAGCTTTAGTTTAATTTCCTTCCCACCTCCCCTAACCAACATATCAACTATACAAAACAGTTGACACTATGGGTACTTACTTCTGAACAAGTGCTTCATGAATTCTGCGATACATGTAACATTCAGTGTACAACCAAGGAGACTGAAACCAACTTGGTGGCTCGTTTGATAGATTCTGATGATATTCTAAGAACTGGTTCCACAGGACAGTGTCAGGCAAGTTATCATTTAAGGCAATCAGAGGTTTGTCTGTCTGAAGCTCATTTCGTAGCTTGGACAGATAAGCTATTGCATTCTTTTCAGCTTGAAGGCCTTTCTAAAATAAAGCAGGGAATGTTTTTATTAATTAAATATTACTAAGCAAGCAAGGTTTTCAATCAAGATGAATGTACATTGATAAACATGTTTTTTTCAACAAATCATCCATAATATTTTAAGCATCATATAAGCTTAGCCTTTTTAATAGTATAATTGCCACTGTCTTATTTATAAATAACTCATTATTTCTATTGTACATAAAAAGTAAAGCAGCATCCAGTATCATTCCTATTGGTTGGTGTCTCTTAAACATGTAGAAGCAATTCTCTTACATTGGTGTGCCCCTGTCTTGTTTCCAAACTGCTAAAAACTCAACTTTTTCAGGAACATGTCAAATGCTCTTGTCCTGTTCAACACTAGTAGCTACTAGCCATGTTCTCTTCCACGATACTCCAATTGATTCACATTTGGGAGCCACATTTGACCAGTTCAAGGGGACTACTCATAGATTATACTCCTGAAAATCATGGGATTTTCCAAATCATTCATATAATTTCTTTTGTTATCTAACAATTTCATTTTCTATAATCCTGCCTGCATTTAGCAGTCATGTTTGCAATTTGCTGGGTTAGAAACGATGGTAGTAATGGTACTTGAATTAGACCAGAAGTCCTCACTATCCTGAGGAAGAATAGGATAATTATAGCTGTTTTTTAACACATTCCATTAGTATCTTAGGAATCGTGAGGCAATATAATATAATGTAATATATTTCAGCTCCATGCTATCTAGAACCACAAATAGGAATGCTTTCTCACAGCATTTGGGCTTTCAAAGTCATGGCTTATAATTTTTTAACATCATTGTGGTAATATTTTATCACAATCCAGAACAGCTTGAACTACTATCTCTGTTATTGACAGATATAACACCCAAGAGTCTCTTAATATTTTATGATTAGACAGACTGGTCACTCCACTTACTGCTTGCTGCGTGGTGGGTGCAACCAGAATTGTTTGTGACATGCCAATCATGGAGGTAGCCCGGCTGGTGCTTACCTGCCTCTGTGCGCTGCTGACCACTCTGGTGAGGGGGTTTGATGAGGAGTTTTCTTACTCAGCTCCTGAGTGGTTGGCTGTGCAGGGAAGTAGGGAAGTGCTGGCCGGGCTATTTCCATGACTGGCATATTATGAACAACACTGTCCATGCACACTGTGTTGTGAGCAGTAAGTGGACTGGCTGGTTCTGTAGAGAGGATCTGGTTTTGCCAAGCACCTGTGGTGCCAATATCCCATGTCTATTTATGATCTCTGAGGAAAAAAGAAAAAGAGAAGGAAATAGAAGCACAAGAATAAAGGCAACAAAATTGTGGCAAAATAGAGGAAGAAGAGCATCCAAATGTGGGCCGAATGGCTACTTATACTAATAGAAAAGAAACATATTAACTCTAATGTAGCAAATAAAATGGAACTGTAGCTGAAGAGCTCCAGAAAGGTATCTTCCATGCTAGATGAACAGCCAACAAAATGAAAAGGATGTTCACTATAAGTACAGTATAAAATATACATTGAGTCAAATATCCCAACCTTAGATTTCCACTGATTGAGTTTGAGTAATGGTGACATACTAGGAAAAAGAATGCAGTAAGGGATTCTTAGGAAAGGGTCTGAAATGAAAACTATCATTGTTCTAATGGCATTATGCAACTCTATAGTGCTGTCAAAATTATATACATCTAAAACACTATCTAGCTCTGCTTTGTGTAAAAAGAAATATTGTGATTGTAATGCTGGAAAAGGGATAAAGATGAGCAAATGGGATGAGTGATTTTTCTAGGAAAATAGCCCAAAGAATTTGGAACTTTGCAACTCTTCTTGGGAAAAAGCAGACAAAACAGTGTGATACCCAGCATGGAAAAAAGGCATAAGGTGATAAAAGATTTTATCCCTTTCATAATATTAGAATGAAACTGATAGGCAAAAGAGTCAAAAGAATGGATTACACAATTCATTGGCATAAGACATGGCAGTGATCATTGGTTTATAATCAGAAAATTAATGGAAGAGCAGATCAATCTATATCGATTGAGCTGGTATTCTTTACAGTGTATAAAGTACAGTACACATAATCACCTTATTTTTCAATGTACAAGAATATTTTGTCTTTTTAGACTAAAAATTGAGGGTCATCTTATACACAGAGGTAAGCTGAGGAGAGTACAAAAACAAGTGGAGGGGAAAGCAGGGATCAAATTGTTCCTGCAGGGCTTTGATTCCTGTTTTCCCCTCCACTTGCTAATCCGGAGCAAAAGGAATCGCTTTGAACCCTGCTTTCCCCTCTGCTTGCTAAGTCCCATGGGGCTTAACAAAATGAGGGGGGAAAGAATCAAAGCAATCCCATGGCTGTATAAGGGGGAAAGGGATCAAAACGATTGTGCAGTTGCAGGATTGCTTTGATCCCTTCCCCCCTCCTTTTGCTAAACCCCGTGGGGCTTAGCATGAAGGGAGAAAGCAGGGATCAAAGTGATCCTGCAGCACTTTGATCCCTTTCCCCATACACTTGCTAAGCCCCACTTAGATTTCTTAATTTTGGGTTAGAAAAGTTGGGGGTGTCTTATACACGGGGCATCTTATACACAGAAAAATACAGTACAGTGGTGCCTCGCTTAACGAGTGCACCGTTTAACGATTAATCTGCATACCGATGCAGATTTTGCGATCGCTTTTGTGATCGCATTACGATGTTGCCAAAGCGATTTTTCCCCATAGGCAACCATTTTCCCCCATCTGACCGGCGGGAGCCTCTGAAGGACCGCTCCTGCTGCTCAGCTGGGGGAAAATGTCGGCAATGGGCGGCGGCCTCGGAAGGACCCCGAAGCCACCGCCCGACTGCCGACATTTTGCCTTCCCACTTCTCAAAGGGCTCCC